CGAGGAGCGGGGGGCCGGCGCCATGGCCGAGCGGGGCCGCCTGGGCCTCGCCGGCGCGCCCGCAGCGCTCAACACGCCGGTGCCCATGAACCTGTTCGCCACCTGGGAGGTGGACGGCTCCAGCCCCAGCTGCGTGCCCAGGTACGCCGCCGCACGGCCGGCCGCTTTGTTCCCGCGCGCACCTGCCGCCCACCCGGGGCCGTCCATCCGGGACGGGCCACCCCGGAGCTCGCGCCGGTGCCCCACCCGGGATCTCGCGCTCGGGGCCAGGCCGTTTGCGCCCCTCCTTCGGCACGCAGACTCGTTCCCTGCGAGTAACCCCTGAAGCCTGGAGGGTCCCCGAGGTCCCCGTCGCCCGAGCTCTCCCGGGCGCGCTCACCTGGTTGGCTCCCAGCCGGCATCCTTGCACCTGCCTACTGATGTGGTGCTGGTGGAATTGACCGAGGGTGTCTCCCCTCTCATCCGGTACCACAGATTTCCTTTTGCGTTCAGCTAAACTGTGAAGTCTGAGCAGCCTGGGAGTGACCCTCACGGCACGCAGTGTCCAGAGGACACACAGACCTGGGACCACAATCACACTCCGTCATCTAGCACATGCTTTTATTCATTGTCCTGGGAGGGGTCCGGCGCTCCCCACTCTGCCCTGGGCGGCGGTCACGGCCCTTGTGCTGTTTGCACTGTGCCTCGGTGTTTGGAGACATCTGCTTGTACATGAACACTGCTCTTTGCATCATGCTGTTAATTTTGCCGAAGACGTTGCCCTCCCACTTGGTGGGGAAGCCCCATCGCCCAGTGGTAGCAGCTGGGCGAGGTTTACCCACAGGCCAGAGCTGTGGTCAGCCCCACTCCACTCAGGCTCCCAACTTCCCTGTTGCTCCTGTCAGCTTGAAGCTCTGCTGGTCTCTCTCCTCCTCCGTGGTTCCCGCTGTGAAGCTCTGAAGCTCGCAGGCTGAGGGGCGCACGAGCGAACGATAGGGCGATAGGGCCTGGTTCTCGAGAGACAACAGGCCGCAGGGAAGAGCTCTCTCTGGGGACACCTGTGGTGGGGACCCCAGGAGTGCCATCCAGGCACAGGAAGTGGCTGTGCACTGAGGGGGCCATGCACTCTGCCACGGCTCCTCCAACAGGTGTCACCGAGTGAGGTGTTGGGGACGCAGAGGGTATGGACAGCGGGGTTGCCCTCCCAGAGCGCAGGGCTGAGAGCTGAGGGCATTGGCCGTACTGAGTGGAAAGGGTGGGCGCGCAGCACAGCGCCCACACCTGTGTGGACCTGAAGGCCAAGCTCAGGAGTATCGCCCCAGGCCCGGCCCCCTCCCCCTTTCCTGCCTTGGCAGTTGCCCCATTGCCAGGTCCCAGTCAGGGGACCCGCCCCCGCTCCCCCCAGGCGTCTCGTGTCTCCTCGCTCTGCACTGTCACCACCACCAGCACCCTCGGGACCGCTTGCCCTGGCTGCCTTCCGTTAGAGCTCCCCAAGTCCGCTTGCTCTCCTCCTGGCCAGCTGCCCCCCAGACTGTGGCGTGTACCCTGCTTTGGCTGTCCCTCTTCAGCGGCTTCCTGGAGCTGTGAAAGACGGCTGAAGTCTTAGCCAGGAGCGGGGAGGTGGCCGGAGAGGCCACCCTGAGGAGCCGTGACAGCACCCCCCCCCCGTACCCCTTGTGGAGCTGCTGGAAGCCCACTCTGGTGTGTGTGCGGGGAGGTCGTGGGGTGGGATGTGGGGTGTGGGCTGGACAGCACTGGGTGTCGGGGAGCTGCTGTCAGGCAGGGCGGGTGCAGAGCTGATGGCACGCGGTACAGAACAGTTTCTGCCGGGGCCGCTCCTTGTCCCTTCCGAACGCCCGTCCTTGCCAGGCTCGTGTGGAGATCTATGAAAGGGGTTATAGTGTCTCTGCTCTCGGTTTTGCCCAATCTCGACATTTCTGAGTGGCATCTGTGCTGATGGCTGCCACTGCTGCCTGGTGCCCCATCGCTGCCCTGTCAGGGGACCTTTGGCTTATCCCAGGTTTTAGCCGGTTGGGACCGTGCTGCTGTTGGCATTCAGGCCCTGTCCCCGTCTGTGCGTGTCTCCTGTGGGCGGGCGGGCCTGTCGTGAGCACGTGCTAGCGTGGGGTTTGGGGGGGGTGTGCTCAGCGTTACTATCGGCAGCTCCCCAGAGCGCTGTGTCAGCTCCGGCCCCCACCGGCATTCTTACCGACACTGCCTGACTTAATTTCTGCCAATCTGGTGGGTGTGAAGTGGTGTTGTGGTTTTAATTTGAATTTCTCTGATTGCTAATGTAGACCACTTGTGCTTCCTCATCAGCGAAATTCCTCTTTCTTTCCTCTGCCGGTTTTCTTTCTCCTTCCCCCGCACCTGAGTCTCAGTAGCTTCTTTACGGTCACTCATCTTCGGCCACATATGTTGAAACCCCCTCTTCCTACAGTGCGTGTTTCTCGGCTCCACACGGCATTAGCCTCTGTCCTCTTTCTTGCTCTTTCGTCTCCGGGGTGGTAGGGAGCTCGTCCCAGGCTCCAGGGTGGTGATGAAGGAGGGCTCCGTTTTGTGGATTTCCTTGAGGTGACACAGCCCTCCTCCTCCCCACTGACCCTGAGCCGAGCCGCATCCCGGGCGGGCCACCCTTCCCTGTCCGTGCCCACTGCCGTGTCCCCAGGCTCCAGCAGGGTCTGGGGCCTTTAGCCCCTGGCACTTCCGCTTGTTCTCCTGTTGTTACCGTGTCTGAGGCTGGATACCTGTGCACATGCCACCGTCCCCGCCACTCTCTTCCAGCCTCCTTGTTAGCTCCGTGGCCCTGTGAGGGAGGCCGTGGAGGGCCGGCTTACACTTGTGGAAGGGTCTGCAGTGGCAGCTGCGTGCAGGCAGCTACACCAAGCAGGCCCTGCCACCCGTGTTGCCGGGGATGCGGGGCTCCTGGGCCTGCATCCTCCGCTCAGCCTGCGAGCTTTTGCTTTTCTTGTTGCTGGCTGTGCCCTTGGAGGAACAAGCCACACTGTTTAAACCTGCTCCTGCTGGTAGGCGTTTGGGTTGTTTCCAGGTCAGAGCCGCTGTGACCATTCGGTACAGGCTGTAGGGACATGTTTTTTCACTTTTCTTTGGTAATAACTGGTCACGGGGAGGTGGGTGAGTATCAGCTTTATAAAAAACTGTCAGTTTTCTTAAGTGGTGGCACCACCTTCCACTGCCAACCCCTGTTACCCTTCGTGTCATTGTTTTTAATTTTAGCCATTCTTTTTTTTTTAAATTGGGGAATTGGGGGATGGGAACAGCGCTGGGGAATCGGGGGAAGGGGGACAGACAAGTTGCTGTCGTTTGTTTGTTGTTTTGTTCTTCAGTCTAGTTGTGGAGGACGTTGCTTCACTGGCCCAAGTTGGCACCATCATTGTACTCTTCCCGGGCGAGGCAGATCAGTCGCCGGCTTCTGGACGGCCGCTCACGGTGGCTGCTGGCTACACACGGTAGCCCACGGCAACCCACTGCAGCAGGGACTGCAGCCTATGCCATCGCCAGCCACTCACGGGCAGCCCAGCTCCAGGTTGAGCTGTTGTTCAGCATCTTAGCTGCAGAGGGCAGTGTCACTGGCCCTCATATGTGGGATCCGAACCGGGGCCCTCTGGCATCCCAAGCCAGTTCTTAACCAACGTGCCACTCGGCCGGCCCTAATTGTAGCCATTCTAACGGGCGTGCGATGGCCTCTCCTTAGGTTTTACTTGTGCTTACTGTGAGTGGGTGTTGAATATAACCAAACACTTTGGGTTAAGGGCATCGCGTGCTGCTTCCCCTGTGTGGTGAACACATGCAAGAACCTGCTAGTGGAGGCTGCGCCCTCTGGGAAGGACAGCCCAGTGCCCTGTATGCGGCGGCCTTGCACTCTGGGTGTCTGGGTGGCCCCTGTGCCCATGTCTGGGCTCTGCACTCTCCTCCGCTACGTCTTTACGGGCTTCAGGCCAAGATACCTTGTGGAGAAAGCCGAGGACTGCCTCCTTTTTCACTGCCCGTTGGCGTAAAACTGGAATGTTTCTGGGATGTTTGGGAGAACTATCCCACAACAGCCTGAGCTGGGGTCACCTATGGGAAGTTCACACCCTGGTTCAGCCCCTGTGATGGTTGCAGGACACTTTCTTTGTCCCTTTGGGTTAATTTTGGAACTACATTTTTTCTGGGAACTTGTCCATTTTGTCCAGATTTGGCATAAAGGTGTTCATGTTAGTCTTATTTTTGAAATGTCTGAATGATCTGTGGCACTGTCCCCTCCATTTTTGTTGACCTCGTGCAGGGGGACACGCACACTGATCTGTCACCAAGGTCTCTTCAGGGTTTTCAAATGAAATTAGCTCTCATCTGTATTCCTGTCTGTTTACATTCCTTAGGGTTACTTTGCTGTTCTTGTTCTAATTTCTTAAGCACACAGCTCATTTTTTTCCTCCTTTCCTTTCACGTATGCATTTGTAGCTGCAAAATAATGCTTTAGCTGCATCTCACAAGCTTTTGTGTAGAATCGTTCAGTTTTGGGTTTTTTTTTAAGATTTTTATTGGGGAATGGGGGATGGGAACAGCGCTGGGGAAATGGGGGAAGGGGAACAGACAAGTTGCTGTCGTTTGTTTGTTGTTTTGTTCTTCGGTCTAGTTGTGGAGGATGTTGCTTCACTGGCCCAAGTTGGCATCATCACTGTGCTCTTCCCAGACGAGGCAGATCAGTCACTGGCTTCTGTGGCTTCTCATATGTAGGATCCGAACCGGGGCCCTCTGGCGTCACAAGCCAGCTCTTAACCATCGCACCACTCGGCCGGCTCTTGTTCAGTTATTTTTTAAATCTTCTGTTATTCTTTCTTTAACATGATGGGATATTTCAAAGTTTCTTAATATTCCAAACATACGATTTTTTCTAGCAATGCTTCCATTGTCAAATTCGTTTCTTCTTTTTTTTCCCATCATTTGTTCTCACTCAGGTACATGGTCAGTGTGGGACTCGCCTCACAGCTCAATTATGGGACGCTTTTCCCACGAGTTCTGCTTGTACTGAAAGGAATGTGTTTGGGGGTTGGGGTGCCATGTTTTGTGTCTGTCCACTTAGGTCAGGCTTGGGTCGTGCCCTTGACCTACTTCCGATTGTGTTCGAATCTTCCGACCTGATGGCGGCTCTGTCATGT